AGCCGCAGTGAGTGGCCATCCAGAAGCCGGGGACTGATGTGCCTCACCCGGGAAGAGCACAATGATGGTGCCACCTTGGGCCAGTGAAGCAACGTCCTCCACAACTAGACTGAAGAACAAAAGGATAGCAACTTGTCTGTTCCCTTTTCCCCAATTCCCCAATAAAAATCTTTAACAAAAATCATAATAAATTTTCATGTCATAGAACTAACGCATGTTTTCAGGGTAGGGTACTCTCAGGGACACTGTTTGATTGTTCTCTGTTCCTTACTTGGGTTGCAATTGCATTGGATTGTCATGGAATGCCACCAGGTGTGCACGGGCTGCCTGAGGCCTCCAGCCCAGGGCAGGGGGCTGGGGGCACGCCACCATGAACAGTGCTGCCCAGAAGGGGGAAGGGCTGCTGCCCAGAGGAAGTGCGAGCTGAGAGGCAGAGGACAGGGAAGGGTCCTCTGTGGAGAGGTAGGGCGGGGACTCTCTGGGAGCAGAGGAAATACTGAGAGTGAAAGTCCAGAGGGCAAGGGGGCAGGCTCCACGGGGAGCCCACAGGGGTGGGGGGCGGGGGTAGGTGATCAGGCCAGGTGGGCAGGGGCCATGGAAAATGAAGTGCCTACAAAGCCAGAGTCAAGTCTACTCTTTTTAGCAGGAGAGTAATGGAAACCCGATGAAGGGTGTTTTTAGCAGATAACGCAATCCAGTTTGTTCTTTTGAAGTGTGGGAAATGGATTGGCAAGGCTGAAAGAGAGGCCCATTTGATGGAATTTCAGGAGCGAGATAATGGTGGCCTGAGCCTGACAGAAGCCCCTGGAATGCAGAGTGATGTGTTTGCGGGTGACTATCCTTTCACTCACTAACTGGCAGTAATTAGTCATGTGCTACGTAAGCACTATGATGGATGCTGGCAATTCAGGAAGGAAGGACATTGTTTAGGGAAAACTATTAATAGGGCTTGTGATGAACTGGACATGAGAGGTGAAGAGTACAGGATGCCTGGGTTCCTGGCCTGGGCAGTGGAGAGGACGCTCATGCGGCCCCAGGAGGACGAAGCGGTGTGGGAAGCAGAATGGGGGCTGAGTTTGGACATGGCCAGTGGGAAAGGAGCACGTGATGGCCAAGCAGACACTCCACTAGACCCTGTCTGATTGACAGCTGGAGCTCAGAGGGAAGCCAGAGAGCAGAGTGAGCAGAGCAGAGCTGGGGGGGGGGGGCGGGGAAGGCCCATTTAAATGCAAATGAATGGCGCCAGCAAAAATAGAGACACTTAGGAGAAGGGGGACAACCAACCAAGGAAGGACCTGTACCTGTCACTATGGATTAGTCTGAATTTTTAAGAAGTTTTACCAGTGGGATTGTACATCGCATGCTCTTTGGCTTCTTTCACTGAGTATAATTATTCTGAGATACATCTGTGTTGTTGTATGTATCAATAGACCATTCCTTTCTATGCCTGAGTAGTTTTCCACTGTATGGACACAGCACAGTTTACACATTCACCAATTATTGGGCTTTAATGTTGTCTCTGTATCTTGGCTATTTCAAATAAAGCTGCTCTGAACACTTGCATACAAGAGTTTCTATGGACATGTGCTTTCTTTTTCGCTTGGGGACAAAAAAAGGGTGAGGCCACTGGATCACATGGTAGGGTGTGTTCTCACTTAAAGAAACTGCCAAACTATTTTCTAGTCATCGTACCATTTTCCATCCCCATGACCAACGTACGAGATTTCCAAGTTCATCCACGTCCTCAACACGTTATCATCAGTCCTTTTAATTCTGACCATTCTCACAGGGGGGGAGTGGTAGCTCATTAGGTTTTACATTTTGTATTGTTTTTCTTTTTTCCATAGCATGATTTCTGACCTGTTATTATTTTTTCTTCTGCTCACTTCTAATGTAATTTGCTCTGTGGTTTTTTTTTTGTTTTGTTTTTAGTTTATTAACTAAATAAAAGTCAAGGTTTTTGATTTGGAACCATTCTTTTTTTGTAATGTAGGAACACAGTGCTAGAAATGTCCCTCTAAGTGCCATTTTAATGGCATCCCATATATTTTGACGTGTTGTACTTCCTTTCCATTTCATTTGGTATATAATATTTTCTAATTTTCCTTTTGGTTTATTCTCTGACACATGTGTTGTTTAGAAATGCGTCATTTACTTTCCAAATATTTGAGGATTTTCCAGTTTTCTGTTTTTGATTTCTACTTTAATTCCGCTGTGACCAGAAGACACATGAACTAAAGCCTTTTCAACTTACTGAGGCTTGTTAGACAGCCAGAATATTGTCTATCTTGGTCAGTGTTCTCTGTACACTTTCAAAGAATGTGTGTTCTGCTGTTATTGGTTTGAGTGTTCCATAAATGTCAATTAGGCTCTTCGCATGACAATTTTAATTTGAATTACCATGAAAACCTGCAAAAAATAAACTCTAATTTCTAGGCAATACTGAAAAACAAAAACATCCAAAGTTCTACCAAACCCTTCAAACATGAAACTTAATGCATTTATAACAAAACTGGAAGAAGCTTGTAAGGGAAAAAATAAATTTCATGTCAAGAGATGACAGATTTATGACCCAAATTAGAAAACTGCAAAAACGTGAGAGCGGAATGAGACCTCAGAGATTAGACCAAACGTCTTCAGTGACTCTGAAAAACTAAGAAACGTGTCTGAGGCAACACGCCGAGTTTGTGCCGACCATTCTCTTGCTGTTTTATTCCTTACCTGCTCCACTGTGCAGAAGATGTGAGCGTCATCCTGCTGGAAGCGTCTAACTCGGGTCAAGCCACTTAAAGTTCCTGACAGTTCATTTCTATGAAGAACTCCAAAATCTGCAAATCTAATAGGCATTTCCCTCCAGGATCGCGGACGATGGGCAAACATTAGGCTAGAAAAGATGCAGTGATGCACAGCTTTTACTTAGCATGGAAAGATTGTGTAATTATCTAAACATTAATAAATTACAATTAAGCCTCAAGATTTGTAAACACCTTATCCTGGTTCTCAGATCACCACTTTTAAAAAAAAGCTGCTTCTCCTATGAATTACTGAACCTTGAATTTACATTACTACACCACTCTAAGAAAGAACCCTGCCTATTATCTCTTCCAGAGATGCTGGTCCCTGTTCCCATTCACCCAGTGAATTTCCACTTACCTTTTACAATTCCCTTCAAAGTCTCTTACATGAAGCCCTCCTGGACACTTCTCCAGACAGGCTCCCAAAATGCCTGGAACATACCCGTTTCGACACTGGGCTCCTTTTTTATAACTGACTTTCTATACATCTGTTCTGACCTTACTCTGTTCTGAGGAAATGGACTGTGTCTTAATCACCTCTGTACTCCTAGCACCAAGCACTGTGAGCACTCGGCTAATGTTCTCTGCTGAATAAATGACCCCTGTTCTCAGAAAGCACTCCTGGCCCCCACATCCCATCACCAATAAGCCACCTAGAGCTTGCTTTCTTATTCTCAGGCATGAAAATACAAAAGTACATTCTCTACTTTCACTCAGCCTTTCTTAGAATGATAGTTGAAACCACAGGCTACAGCTTCAAATGGACCTTAATGGGAAAGTGAGTTAAGAAGTTGTTAACGCAAGTCTGGGTTAGCCTCCACCTTCTGTCTACAAAGGGAGGTTACAGACTATTTACATGCCAGTTGTCACAAAGTTAAAGGTCAGTATATCTTGTTCATATGCTGTCATCATGAAGCCGAACTTCTTTCAGTCTTTACTGAAAAAGGCAAAGAGCTTTCTTCAATATTCAGAGGTTTGTTTTAGTAGTTTCCTTCTAAGGCCAATTTACTCGAAACTATGTATGTTGATGATACAAAGCTACCATAGTTGGGGTATATTTTGTAAATAATTGAGTCTGTTCACTTCCAATTGTAAAATCTGCTTGTCTCAGTAACAAGGTTGAATTTGCATACCAACTTTCTGATAATTACACACTTTCGTAGAGTCAAGACAATACTGATTGTCATATGTACCATTATTTTACGTAGCACTAAGAAAGAAGACCCATTAAATAAATTATGACAGAATGCTAGGATGCCCTCAATTATAGATGTCTCCCAATTTCAAAGACGGCGAAATGTGGGCGGGAAAGCTTCATTGATTCCAAGTTATCCAAGTAGCCCATTCATTATGACGTCACTGGTGTTGTTATAACCCCCCAAACAATACATAAGAACGAAGTGTTCCATAAACATGTATATTTGAAGTTTATTATTATTATGAAGACAAGTATAATTTATAAAATTTATACATATCTCTACGAAGCAGAAACAATTAAATGGCTTCAGCTAACATTTCACACCTGCCAAAGAGCAAACATATTTAACTAGTAAATTCACTCTACAGAATGAAATAACTTGGTAAAGACGACTACTAACTACACTATATTAAAGGAATCCCTTAACGCCAAAAAGCAAATGTGTAATCACACTAACGCTGACTGTGATGGAGGGCACCCTGCGCTCTTATGCAAAGATCTGCCTGACGGTCAACACTCACCAGTGCCCTGGACAATTCATGGGCTTAAGGGCAAAAGTGTCCTTCTCAACGTTGAAGGTAAACATGTTCGCGCTGTAATGCTGCCAGTGGCCCGACGCTTCCCAGAGCTTGCTATTGTACATGTTGGGAGAGAGCACTTCCGTGAAGTTCCGGCGGTGATACTCCTCCTTTAAGATAAATGCGCTGAGTTAAAATCATCTCTGATGGATCACAGAGCTGTGCGAAGTGACGCTGTGTGCAAGAGGCTTTAAACTTGAGATTATGTCTTATGTCGATTCCTGAGGAATGGGCCCTCAGTTTTAGATGCAGTGCTTTCTGGATCATGAAAGAAAGATGAATGTATGCTCAGTGCAATTTTCACACGTTTTTCATTGCAAAAATGCGTCGTGACTTTTCCGACAACCCAATGTATTTATTTTACAGTATACAACAGTATATACTACATAATGTTTTAATTCTTTGAAAATTAGTAATTGAAATAATATATATAAATTATATATATAAACTTTGTATAACTCCAAACTCCAAAATCATCCTATATTCTAGATAAACAGCAGGTTTTTTCTCTACTGCAAAGGTAGAATAATTTTTATAACTCAATAAGCCTGAATGCCATGCTGCATGTTAATTTACAGTTTTGATCAATTTAGTTTTAAATAGAAATGAAGTTGAGAGTTTTAATCCGTAACACTTTTAAGTAGTTGGTGTCTATTAAGTGATGAGCTGGCTTCTTTCCCGCCCTATTAACAACTTCTTTCTAATTCAAACATTGGGAACAAGAAAAGTGTCTTGATTTCATTCAAAGTTCTTATTTTATTTAAACTGCTTTTTTCTTCCAAATATCAATTTGGTGATCTTTGTTGGGTGTTCCTTAGATTCTCAACATTTGCAAATCACTTAATGGGCGCTTGGCACAAATCTAGACCATTATTAGCTAAGTTAAAAAAAAAGATTTCTTAACATTACAAAAGTATAAAGCAGCATCTTAAAATTGCTAACAATGGCTTATATCACTGAAATTCAGGGATATTATCTGTCAGCCTTCAGCAGAGCATCATTTCAGTCCTATGGTGGATAGCTTGGGTCTCGGCCACCTAGTAAGCTGCTTTTCCTACCTTTGGTTAAATTAGAAAATTGTAAGAAAATTATACATCATGACAAATGGCAGTAATTATTTGGTGGCTAAGTCAGATGGCTCTATATGTTCAGATTAAGCAAAGTCCAAAAAATTAAATGACTTTTTGTGTGTGTGTTTGATTTTACTAGAGACAGTAAAGCTCTAGCTTTACATCTTGACTCAGCAGATAGGAATTAAACTCCATTCTGGATACAATCACGTTAGAAATGTATGTTTTGTGAAGGCGTTTGGAAGTGATTTTAAATGATGCCCTATGAGGGAAAGTGTCTTTATGGCTACAACTTACTTTGTGTGGTTTAGCAAAAAGCAACTACTACATTTATTTATACAATATATACATATATGCATACTGTCCTATCTTTATAATGAACATGTTTTATATATAATATATGTATATTATATATATACTATATATAATATATATATTACATATATAGTTTCACCTCTTAACACACACACAAACACATATGTAAGAGAGAAAACAAATTGGCAAAATGTAAACAACTGAGGAATCCAGATGAAGGAGACATGGATGTTTACTGTACTGCACTTTAACTTTTCTGCAGATTTGAAGTTTTCAAAAGAAAAAGTTGGGGGCGGGAGGAGGACATAGCTGATGCTATGCCATCAATTTCTTTCTCTACAGAGTAAATGCAATGCAGTGCTTGCAGGGTCCAGTCATGGGGCTCGAGCAGTCTACTGCTCAGTCTGGCCTCCCGAAGAAATCCTGACAGCTTATTGTGAAGATTAAAAATCCAGTTTCAGGGATGGCTGGTTAGCTCAGTGGGTTAGAGCACAGGCTCATAACACCAAGGTTGCCAGTTCCATCCCCACATGGGCCAAGGACCTGCGCCCTCCATAACTAGATTGAAACAACTACTTGACTTGGAGCTGATGGGTCCTGGAAAAACACACTGTTCCCCAATAAAATTCTAAAAAAAAAATCCAATTTCATCCCTGAAGTGATCATTTCAGGCTGCTGGAGGTACAGAACACTACCTGTGCCTGATGATCTGGCCACCTGAAAACACTTAAATAGCACCTACGTGTCAGTCTCATAGAGAAATGCTGTTAAGTACTTTTTCATAACTAAAGCAATTCCACGTAAGCAGCTCCTTCCGCAAACCACACTAAAGTAACAGTAGAGTCTGTATTAGTCTACAGGCCAAAGAGAAAAGGAGAGGAGCTGGAAGTTATAGACTTTAGAATCTGGAAAAGAGGTGAACAATTGCCTCAGCAGACCTGGGAAGTGAAACTAAATGGGAGAATCCCAAAAGCAGGCTTACTTTAGCTGGATCGAGATTTCTAAGATGCATATTTTTAAGGCATTGGTCCTGTCTTGTTTCTTAGTGTTTTCATGAAAATTTCAGTGCCATACTGATACCCAGTTCTATGTTTATGTCTTTTTCTCTCTGGAAACTTTTAAGATCTTTTCTCTATCCCTAAAGCTTTGGAATATCTCAGTAATGTGCCTTGGTGCCCAAGGATAGAATGCTTTCAGCAAAAAGCCCAGATATACTGAGAATGGGGAGCTGACTATGTCTTGCCCACTTGAGGCCCCCTCTGCTATTGAACTAAAAGGCAGAGAATGACTTACTCTCCTGGAAGGATGACTGACCCCAGTATTGGGGGGGATTGTGCTGCTGTGATATGATGGACTTAGGGGGACTGCATCTGGGATACAGTGAGGAGCCATTAGCATTTCCATACCCAACAGTGATGGGCCCTGGGGACCCCGGCGACCCACTCAAGACAGGGTCACTAAGAACATGGATCCTCTGGGAAGAAGGTTTGGGTCATCTACTGGTACAGGTTGAATTGTGTGTTCCCCCACCACCACCACAAAAAAAGATATGTTGGAGTCCTAACCCCTAGGACCTCAGAAGGCAACTTTTACATGGAAACAGGGTCTTTACAGAGATGATCAAGTCAAGATGAGGTCCTTAGGGTGGGTCCTAACCCAAAAGTACTGGTGTCCTGATAAAAAGGGGACATTTGAAGAGAGACAGCCACATGCAGAGGGAAGATGACGTGAAGACACAGGGAAAGTGCCATGTGAAGAAAGAGCACTGACCAGCCAAGGAACAGCAACAGTGACTGACGAGCCACCAGCTGCTGGGAGGAGGCAGGAAGGATCCCCTCCCAGGCCTCAGAGGGAACACGGCTCCCCGACACCCCGACTTCACACTTCTGGCTCTAGAACTGCGAAACAATATATTTTTGCTGTTTTAAGCCACTTGGTTTACAGCACTTCGTTAGGCACCCTGGGAAAGTAATACCTCCACCAAGTAAATCACTGTTCATCGAGGAGCTGGTGGGCCAGGAAACATGGCATGGCTGGTGGGAGACGGGCGCTGGTTTGTCCACTCAGGCCTTGTTCCATCTGCAGAGCGTGGGGCTGGAGCCATCAGGTTTAGTTATTTCCTTTCCCTGTATCCTTACATGAAAAGCATTGACAGTGGCAACGTCACAATTCAGATTTTAGGTGCAATGGAACTGACATCACAGCATGATGACACATTGGCTGACGGGACTTTGGACAAAGAAACAAATGTCTTCACCAAGCAGAAGACAGAAATGGACTCTGAGTAGCAATGGGGCTGGGCCGTGCTGGTCATTCTCCATTTGCCCCCCACCCCGTCCTGCCCCATACTGATCTATTTTCCTCCCTTCTATGCCCTGCTCCGTGTCCCCCAAAGCTTACTTCTATGGACTCCATCACCAGGCTTACCTGCCTTCTGACTTCTGGTTGAGTTTGACCAATGAGATTCCAGAAGGATTCAGCAGATGGGAGAGGTGAGGGGTCAGGGTATTCACTCCCCTCCCCACTCCCTCCTTGCCTCAGGTTCATTCTGTCTCTGGCTCTGATCTCCAGTTAGAGCTTCTGTGGGGCGACCTCTCTTCCAGGGCTTGGAGCTCTGTCCGGATTCTGAGGATACTATTGTTTCTCCTCACCCCCTCAGGCCCAGGAGTGGGTTTAAGGGGGATCACCCCTGGGTGCTCTAGCACCCCATTAGTTACTTCAACCAGGCCCCCACCTCTGTACATAATTCCTTCATGAGACTCTCTTCAGTTAAACCCGACTGCACCTGGCAGGACTCTGCACGAGAGGGAAGTGTTTTGAGGTTTCACATATCTGTGAAGACGAGTTTGATTTGGAAATGCACTGAATCCAAGGTTGTGGGAACGTGAAGCAAAAATTCTCCAAGTGGGTGGTTGACGTAATACGAGGGAAGACACTGTCCTCTCCACTCCATGGTCTCAGACACGCATCAGTGGAACAGGCAGATTCCAGGAAACTTAAAAAGTGTGACTGAAGCGAGTTTTATAAGGACCCCTTATACATTGCTGGTGGGAATACAAAATAATGGGCACTTTAGAAAACAGTTGGCATGTTCTTATAAACATAAATGGACCATATAACCCTGGAAATCACACTCCTGGGTATTTACCTGAGTAATATTAAAAGCTGTACTCATACAAAAACCTGTACTGAGAAAGCTACTTGGAGGTACACATGCGCCATTTCTTATATAATGGCAAGAGGACTCCAAGGGCAGAACCAGGGCCCCAGGGGGACAAAACTGAGTTTTAATCATTATGCATTTCTTGACCCTGGAGCCTCTGCAGTTAATTTTATATACAATATCTAGCACATAATAACAAATCTCTAGCTATGGGAAGAGGCAAGATCATATGACAGAAAACCAAGAGAGAGAATCAGGTGAAGTACCTTAAAATTTTTGTGACTTTTTTTTTGGCATGAAAAGGCCAATTTCTTCAGACAAGGGTATCTGGGCATTCAAAGTTGCCTGCCTCATCTGAGTATGCCAAATGTTCCCACGATAAGACTCCAGGGCACAGTCCGTCCCACCAGTGCCCTCACCTTAATATAGGAGAGCAAAGGGGTTATGTGTTTAAATGGCTGTACAACTCTGAGGCTCATACAATCAAACCTTGGGCCTGACCATCAGCCATGTCTGTCTTGCATCTATAAAAGCAAGAATTCCTTTAGGGCCACCACAGAGGCTTCCTATTTATTCTTTCCACATTGCACCCTCAATCTACAGAGTCCAAGGTGCCAGGGGCTGTGTTGGTTTTCCAGCAAAGACAGCACATCCAAAATGCTAGCTGTGATGGTCATCAGCACCTGCTGAAGTCTCTGGTAACATTCTGTGGTTCCTCAGGTCTCACCTCCCTTCCCTCTGAGCTCCTATCATGGCTTCACATTGGCCAATCCCTATGGAAGGTAGGTAGCCCAGGTGAGGAAGTCCATAGAGGTCAGCTTCCAGGAGCACAGACCAAGAAAAGAAGGAAGGAAAACAAGACCAGTGATTCCAAGAATAACCAGCACATGCCATGTACCCTTTTCTCAGGAAGTTACTGAGGAAAGTGCTCCCCCAAATTAGAGGGCTAAGCAAGGAAGAGGAAGATGCGGGATCAGGAAGGAAGGGAGTCAGCGTAGAAAAGACAAAAGGGGGAGTAGCCAGGATAAGGATGAAAAGAAGTCCTAAGATATCAGTTGGTAAGAATCTTAGAGCAAGTTAATTCTGGAGTGAGAAGGCCCAATTTGAAGAAAAAAAAAAAGGTTTATGGAGCGGTTACCCGAATCATGAGAATATGCTGCAAGGAGTTTCAGATTTTTGAGAGAAAGTTGAGGATACATTAGTGATAGGCACACAGAACACTGAGTAAATGAAAATTTTAGGTAATTATTAATCATAAGAAAGACAAAAGGCCCAAGAGAGGAAATGTGACCCTAGCAGTGCACATGGACCACCTCTGAAGAATGTCTACAGTACACGTCCTGTTGAACACTTTCTAACCTCTGAACTCGTGTCACAGGAGTACTTTACAGAATTGTGTTTCACCTTTCGCTCTGGACCCAGAACACCTGGAGTCATGTCACAGGCCATGGAGGAGCCCCCCCTGGTCCATGGGCCACATTTCAGAAGCAGGGCTTCTCAGCTCAGCATTCTGTGCGGGTAGGACACCTCCTCCTTCTTCTTTCACAGGATGTTCCCCACTTGGGCTAATGCTTATCCTTGCATTGTACATGCTCTAGAAGCTTCTATGCATGACAGAAGCATTTCATAAAATTCAAGAATGCATTTAACTTAGGGAAAATAGAAATTACCTCAATGTTTTTAGGAGAAGGCACAATCCAGTATTTCTCGTTTAGTTCAAAATTCTTAGTATTACTAAAATAAAATTAATGGAAAGACTTGACCATTTTACTATGAGAGAAAAGGGTAAAATGTACAGTGGAGTTGAATAAGAATATTTGAGAAATTAACTTACTCGTATGAAATCCATAAGTGTGTTATAAATGAAGGCTCCTCTGGGAAGAAAAAAACAGCTTCCAGGGCTCAGGTCATGGAAAAAGAAAAGTTCTTGTTCCTAGAGGAAAACAATATTGCATTTCAAACTCACTGGTGTTAATATTTACTGTCCAGATGTGATTGGCCAGGGGTCACATACCCACTCACTTGCCATTTCCACCTTCTAATAACTGACATTCCAAAGTACCTCAATACTTGTATATAACTAGATGCAATAGCACAAGGAACATCACAATTCATGTTTATGGTCGCTTAGCTCTGAACTTAGCTTTGATTTCACCTTTGTTTTACTGTTAATTCCTTATTTGGCACCTTGGAGGATGGATCCCATGAGCAGACAACATGGCAAACAGATAATAAATAGTCACTGTTGCATGGGCTTTACGTGATGGTGGTCAGCATCATGGCTGTCACACACTGAGAGCCTCCCTCATGCGGCCGCCATCGTCCAGTGTCTGCCCTCACGTCAGCCCGGTGAGGCTACCCAGCAAGAGATGGGACATGGAGTGCCTACCATAAGGGGGACACGAGGCCCAACATATAACAGCTCGGAAGTGGCAGGACTAGGTTAAAACCTGGGCCGACCTGCTTTCAAATCTCATTCTCTTTCTGCTCTGCTCCCCAAATACGAAGTATGTAATCAAAGTACATACAAGTTTTTAAACACGTGATTTTTATATCATGATAAATATGAGAAGAGGGTGTAATTTTTAAAATTTTCTGAAGGTTACAGGAAGGAAAGAGGTTAGAAGATATTGGGGTATTAGCATGAAAGAACTCGGCAGTAAACTTTAAATACTAGCAAAGGAGAAGATAGGAGAAAAGGAGAAATATTATTTTTCAAGCATAGTTTTATGAGACATAATCTAAGCCAACAAAGCAATGCCCCCATCCCAACAGTGACTGGCATGTGCGGCCTACCTTCCCGACTTTCCTGTGATCTCGGCTCCTGGCTTCCTCTCGGAACTTTTCCCAGGTTTTCATCATCTTGTTATCAGGAAAGGATATCCCATAGATCCTCTGCAGTGTTTCCATTTCAGAATTGCCCTCCCAATATGTTGAAGAATTCTAAACATCACACAGGATATTGGTAAACATATCAAACATTGGGTTATAAGTAAAATCAGTCTTAAACATGAACACACTTTTCCACTGCGGCATCAACATACAATAGCTTATTAAAATATGACTTTTTTGTAGTGCTGGAAAGAATCTTAAGTCGGTTATAACTAAACCATCCCAGCTTAATCAGTAAACTATGTAAAGAGTCTGCAGTGGATTCTAGGAATGAAAGAGTGGAAAGAAGAGATGATAAACAGCAACTGCGACCACCACAAGCGGGCAGCAGAGGAAGATGCAGGGCGTCAAGGTCGCCCTTGCTGCTCCATGGCTGATGGCTAAGAACAGTGCTGTCACCAAGCCCGCATCCACCTGTGAGAAAGCCAAGGCCCGAGGGTCAGGACAGCGGTCAGCCCCAGGCCTCTGGGTTTCCTGGGCCTCCCCATCATACCCCCATGTCCCCTTTTGGTTTTTTCTTTTCTGTACATATTCTACATACAGGTAAATGTTCTTGCTCACATTAGGGCCATTCAAGAAAGCCACAGTATGCACAACAAAATGTCTTCAAGAATCATACAAAAGAAATGCATTGTGACACTTACAGTAAGGCTAAATGGTAACTAAAAGCTATAGATAATGTCCTAATTACCAAAATTCTAAAAAATTATACATTTTTTAGAAGCCCATGTAACAATCAAATAATGAAGTGTTTTTTAAAATAGCATGATGTTTAGATTATAAAAGGTATGACTGAAAGTCCTAATTATCTCGCCAAGTTAACCTAAAGTTTGCTATATTAAAACAACTTACCCTTACCTTGAAAATTTTTATGGTTTTAATTTTTCCAGTGTGTCTTACATGGGGGCCTTTACAAAGGTCAATTAGTGAACCGCACCTATAATAAAAGATTTAAGACATGAAACTGTAACATAACACAGTTATAGTTTTTTGGACTATTTATTATAAACCATGTTCTCATATATTTTAAGTGAAGGATTTCACTTATTTGTAGGCCTGGGGCAATTTTTAACTTAGGGGCAATTTAAATTAAGTTTAAGTTTAGGGTAGAGGAAAGAGGCAGTTTATCTAGTCTCAGATCCCAGACTTCTACCCTTTGCTCCCATTCGAAAGTTCCAGAAGCTTCTGAAAGAAACTGCACACAGGACCCACTTTTCATTGTCCCTCCCAAGGCTCTTCAAAACCTTCCACTGCTAAAAAATGAAAAAGCCATTTCCCTGCCCATGCTAATTTTCAAAACAAAAATTATATGAAATTGATACGAAATGCATTAACTTGATACTTTACCTTAAAAATAAATTTCACCAAACCCATAGAATGCACAATGCCAAGAATGAACCCTAATGTCAACTGGGACTCTTGAGTGATGATGATGTGTCACTGTAGGCTCGTCAGTTGTAATAAACGTGCCCCTCTGATGGGAGAAGTTGATGGGGGAAGTGGGGAGGGGAGGCTATGCATGTGTTGGGGAGGAGGGTAAGGGATCCTCCCCTAAACTTTGCTATGAACTTAAAACTGCTCTAAAATATAAAGTCTCTTAAAAAGATAAATAAACGTCAAGGGTTTTTGTTTGTTTTGAGGCCCTCTGGGTTTCTGACAAAATGCCTAATTTTTTCTCGGTTTTTTGAAACACAGCACTGACTTAGAATGCCAATCTCAGGCAAAGTTTAGCTGAGCGATGACAGTGCTACCAAAACACACAGGGCTGTAGCTGGGATTAATTATGCATGAAAGAGCCAGGACCCACAAATCTCAATAAGCACAGGCTTCTCTACAAGTAGAGAACCGTGAACAGAGGCAAAATACTAGTAACACAGGTCAGAGGGAAGGTTATGTAACATTAACCAATTTAAGGAAAATTTAGTAAAGAAAGTAGTTGTTTCTTAACTAGTCCAACCAATTTTAAATATTTTTAAAGTTCGCTGGTGAAAATATCAACAATTACTAAGAATACATAAAGGGACTGGACTTTTCATCAAAGTAGGATGAAGCTTTAAATGTGAAAATGGCATTTCTTTGAATGACCAGGCTTTATACATTGTTCTCTGTCCAGAATGAAGATAGTAAATCATTGCTGAGAGGAATGGAAGGCATGCCTAATTAGCACAATCAATATGAATCTTTAATTAGTATTCAACACTAATCAATACTCTAATCTAATAATACTCTAAATAATCCCATAGAAATAATCCATTTTTTTCTATGAGTGTGGCAAGAGGCAGCGAACCAGTACGTGAGGAGATGGCCCATAATGGCTCCAACTGTCCCTCTAATGAGAACGTGGGAGGATAAAACAGGAAGCCCTTTCCCTAACAGCTCCCCAAAATGTAAGGTGCTGGGCAAGCACAGTCTAACCCACAGGGAGAAAGATGCTGTTACAGATAAACATCCAGGAAACAAAACCTGGGTTTCAGGACCGTCCTGGTAAACACAAACGAGAAAATAACGTCCTTTCGGTGATAGCATTTGCAAGTCCCTAACTAAAGTAGTATGTCAACTATGCAAATTCACAAATGGTCCAGCCACCCAAAGACGAACTGCTTCTACTGCTGAAGCCTTCAACTTCACCACTGAGCAGTGTTTAGAATTTACGCACTTTACCTGTACACTGTGGTAGTTGGAGTGTTAACCTTCTCATTCAGGATGCGGCATTTAAACTTACTGTACTGCAAAGAAAAATATATTTACATGTTATTACACGAAATGTTTAAGTGCAAAAAAACGTTTTCCTTTTTGCAACACACACTGAATGGTGTTTACTAGGTTCTAGGTGCTAAGACCTGGGGATACAAAGAGCTCACAGTCTAAGCAGTACTGTCCAGTATGGGGACCTCGAGGCCACATGGCCACTGAGCACTTGAAATGCAACTAATCTGAAATGAGACATGCTGTCAGTGCAAAACACACTGGATTTCAGAGGTCTAATGTGAAAGAAAGGGTGCGCATTAGCTCATTAGTTCTTGTTTATACTGGTGACATGTTGAAGTGGTATTTTGATACTACTGGGTTAAATAAAATATTATAAAAATTAATTTCACCTTTCTTTTACTTGAAAAATGTGGCTACCAGGAAATTTAAGATTACCTACATAGCTCAGATTTGTGTATTACATTACATTTCTGTTTGGATGGCACTGTTTTAGAAGATTCCAATTTTAGCTACATGAAACAAAATTCTGTGGACACAGCTACATTACTGTGTATAAAAACAAAGTTTATAGTAAATGATATCATTCCATTTGAACACTTAACAGCTACTTTTCTTTTCATTACTGTTATCATGGTGCTGGGAAACTTAAGAGTAAGCAACAATTTAGAGGGGTAGTTGTCAGAAAGAAAAAAATAGGTTTGCTTGATTTAACTGTTTCATATGCATATGTTCAAATCAAATCACCTTTCTTTAAAAGGTTTGATTGAGTTTAGTTCTCAATCCACAGAATGGGAGAAAAGAATTGCAAGTCACATAGCTGATACAGCATTAATATCCAGAATATATAAAGAACTATATAATTCAACAACAGAAAACAACAACCCATTTCAAAATGGGGAAAAGGCTTGACATTTCTCCAAACCAAATATACAAATAAATGACCAATAAACACATGAAGAGATGCTCAAGATTGTTAGTTATTAGAGAGATGCAAATTAAAACCATGATAAGATCCTACATCACACCCATCAGGATGGCTTTTATCAAAAAACAAAACAGAAAATAACACGTGTCAGCAATAATGTGGAGAAATTGGAACCCTTGTGCACTGCTGGTGGGAATGTAAGATGGTGAAGCTGTGTGGCTAACAGTATCACATTTGCTCAAAAAATAAAATAGAATTTCCATGTAATTCAGCAATTCCACGTCTGGGTATGTACCCAAAAGAACTGAAAGCAGGGTCTCAAACAAATAGGACAAACCCTGACTGATTCCATTTATATGAGGTTCTAAGAGTAGTCAAATTTACAGAGACAGAGAGAGGGGAAGGGGGATGGGAAGTTAGTGTTTAATGGGTACAGGGTTTAGTTGGTGAAGATAAAAACTCTGGAGACAAACGGTGGTGACGGCTGCACAACAATGTGAATGTACTTACTGCCACAGAACTGCACAGTGGTTAAGATGGTAAATTTTGTGTTTTGAATATTTTACCATGAAAAAAGAGTAGCTGTAACTTTTACCAAACCTAAATCTATATTTTTCATTAAGTCCACAAAACTAACAATATTGTGCTTTCAAATTATGTGCTTTCTCTTGATATGTATGAGTTAAAAAATAAATCAAGAATATATATATATGTATATATATATATATATATTTATATACACACACATATATGCTTAAGATTTTTATTGGGGAATTGGGGGATGGGAACAGCGCTGGGGAATTGGGGGAAGGGGAACAGACAAGTTGCTGTCCTTTTGTTCTTCAGTCTAGTTGTGGAGGACGTTGCTTCACTGGCCCAAGTTGGTACCATCATTGTGCTCTTCCCGGGCGAGGCAGATCAGTCGCCGGCTTCTGGACAGCCTCTCACAGAGGCTGCTGGCCGCTCATGCTAGCTGCTGGCTACACACGGTAGCCCATGGCAACCCACTGCAGCAGGGGCTGCAGCCTACGCCATCGCTGGCGACTCACGGCAGCCCAGCTCCAGGTTGAGCTGTTGTTCAGCATCTTAGCTGTAGAATGCAGTATCACTGGCCCTCATATGTGGGATCTGAACCGGGGCCCTCTGGCGTCCCAAGCCAGCTCTTAACCAACACGCCACTTGGCTAGCCCCAAGAATATATTTAAATACACTGGTCAAAACAATATAAAGGTAAGTTTATATTGGAAGTTTTTTACACAGGTTAAAATCTTTAAAAAATTTTTTTAACAGAAGGCCCCAAAGAAAAAAGAAAAAGCCAGAATTTTATATGGTATTATAAATATTGTTGTGGCGGCCGGTTAGCTCAGGTGGTTAGAGCACAGGCTCTTAACACCAAGGTTGCCGGTTTGATCCCTACATGGGCCAAGGAGCTGCACCCTCCACAACTAGGTTGAAGACAACTACTTGACTTGGAGCTGATGGGTCCTGGAAAAACACACTGTTCCCCAATAAAATTTCTTTTAAAATAAATAAATTAATTAAATAAATAAATATTGTTGAGTTCAGCAGTTAAACTATTAATACTCAGAATTAATCAGATTTATAAACACACATATGAAAGTTATTCACCAGGCCCTTTCACTACTTATGTTTGCATTAAAATTTTCAAGAAATGGTAGGGGAATATCACATTGAGTGACCAGTGACAACGGTTTAGAACAATTTGGTAAGCAACATCCAATTATTGGCCAAGAAAAAAAGTTGTCTATGTTACTTTTACTATTCCTAGCAACAGGTTTTCTTATTCTAACAACGTCTCCTGACTTACCTTAAACATTTCCAGGAGAACTTCCTTGCTGACTTCTAACCTTTCAAAAGGTTGCTTTTCTTTGAGGATGGCCTTACATATGTTCTCCAGCGCTGACAGCTCTGTGCTCGACACTGCTCTGAAAAGAACAGCATGTAAGAATCGACACTGATTTCTCAGACATCGTGCACGTTCCTTTAGGTGGGCCTCTGTCCTGCAGTCTTTCCACTGATTGACATGCTTTCTAAACTGAGGACTTTGGTTAATGTTTTATTGCCACCAGGACTTCAGAAAGCCAAACATTCATACACAAGGCAGGTAATCCTGTTTCTCAAAGAGGGAGGCTGAGGCAGGAACACATGAAGTGATCTGCCTTCAGTCTGCGACGAGGCCTGCAATTTGAAGAACACTGTTAGGATGTCCCCGAGACCCTAAGCTCCTCGATGGCCTGCCTACTGTGCCGTCTTCCTTCTCTTTCACACGATCAGATTGTATCCAAATGTGAGTTGTTCGTCCCCTCAACAGCCCAAGAGCTGGCTCCCTCTCTCCATTCTCTTCCCGGCTTCAATGTCACTTTACCCTTTCCTGACCACCTGCTTGTCACTGCACAGACCTGCCCACACCTGGTGTGGTTCCCTTCAGAGCCCTCACCACCACCTGGTGGTCAATGGCTGTGGGTTTACTGTCTGCCCCTCCCCCCCAAAACTAGACTGTTAGCTCCACAAAGACAGGCTGGCCTGGTCACTGCTCAGTCACCTGACCAAGCACAGAGCACACAGCAGGCAGTTAAAACTGTTGTGGAATGGCCCCTGCGGGGGGGGGGGGTTGTGATACAGGGGGCCGGAACAGCGGGTGAAGCTGACCAGGCCTGAGCAGGGACTGCAGAGGCCGGGAGCTCACTTGGGGAGGTCAGTTAAGCAGTGAGGAGGTGACAGGTAAAGACAAAATGCACACCAGGCAAGAGGCATTATGGGTCTAAATTAAGGCAGAAAGAGAGAGAAAGAGAGGAGGGCAGGAGAACTACTGAGGAGATAAAACTGGCAGGACTGGGTTGAGGACTGGG